AGCAGTCAACAACAGCAACATTGCCAGAAACAGTAAGAGACCTGAATAAATGGAAAAAATGTTCCCTGACAGTCCTACTAAAAGCAATTTAAAATTTTTAGTTTAAGACTACAAGTAATGATAACAGTATAAAGGTATGTGCTTAGAAAATAAGTATATTTCTAGAGTTGTGATTATTGCATTAAATATATAAAATGTTTTAATATTTAATGATTTATACTTCAAGATTGTTGTCAGTGTCAGAATTAATATTTTTGATTATTTCACTGGTTTTTTTTCAGCAATGGGTATCATTTAAAAGCACCAATTTAATAAATGAGAAGTAGTATTTCATCTTTCTTAATTCCTAATGCATCTTTCTTAATTCCTAATGCGAGAGAACTTTTACATGTGTTACCCAGATGTATTTCTTCTTTTGTAGTTTTCACTTTTTTCTGTTTTTTTATTTTCATCAAAATGTTACTTATTTGTTGGTACAAACTTTCTCTAGTAACCTTTTTTTTTATAATCTCAGTAATTTAAAATTTATATGACCAGATACACTATTTCTGACTTTCAGGTATAGACATCTAAATCTTTGTCTGTATGTTTGATAAATATTTACGTTTGTTTTCCTGTTGGTTCCCCCCCCCCTTTTAACCATTGATCCTCTGGAATTTATTTTAGAGTATGCTGTAAAGTTGAATCTAAATTTGTTACTTCTGCCTTGAAATAAAATTTGTTTATCTAGTTATAAAATTTTAGACAACCTATAATTTTCTCTTGATTTAGGATGTACATCTTTTTTATCTATATAAAAATCTATTTTACCTTTTAGATATTCATGATACAGTCTACTTTGTACTTCTTTTGTAGCTTAAGATTTTGGCACATTTAGTATCTTTTATATCAGTTAGTTTCAACAAATAGACTGCTGCCCTGCCTGTGCTCACCAAGTTGTGCCAAAAAAATCTGGAGGACAGCCACCTGGCATCTGACTGGAAGAGATCTATATTTGTTCCCATTCTAAAGAAAGGTGATCCAACAGAGTGTGGAAATTATCGAACAATATCATTACTATCACATGCAAGCAAGATTCTGCTGAAAATTACCCAAAACGACTGGAACAGCACATCAACAGAGAACTGCTAGAAGTGCAGGCTGGATTTAGAAGAGGCCATGGTACTAGTGATATTAAAGCTAATGTTAGATAGACCTTGTCTATCTGTGTTTCATTGACTATGGAAAGGCGTGCATGGATCACAATAGACTGTGGCTAATTCTGAGACGAATGCAACCCCAAAACACTTGATCATGCTTATGCGAAACCTGTACTTGGACCCAAGAGGCAGTTGTCAGAAGAGAGCAGTGAAACTGCATGGTTCAGAATTGGGAAGGGTGTACGCCAGGGATGTGTCCCATCTCCAAACCTTTTCAGTGTAAATGCAGAGCAGATTATCCAGGAGTCTGGGTTCTATAAGGAGAAATATGGCATCAGGATTGGAGGAAGACTCCTCAACAATCTGTGTTATGCAGGTGACACAACCCTGCATCCTGAAACTGAGGAACACCTGAAACACTTGCTGCAGAAGGTCAGTATGAATTGAAGCTCAGTATCAATAGAACAGATTCTCACCACTGGACTGATTGGCAGCATCATGATAGATGGTGAAGAGATTGATTGAGATTGTTAACAGCTTTCGTTTATTTGGCTCCATAGTTTACGCTCTTGGTACTAGCAGCCAGGAAATTAAAAGATGAATTGCATTGTTAAAATCTGCTGTCAGAGACCTCTCCAAAGTATTGAAAAGCAACGATGTCAGTCTGGAGACTAAAGTGCGCCTGATCCAGGCCCTGGTCTTTGCAGTTACTTGCTGTGCATCAGAGAGCTAGACAGTGAGTAGGGATGATAGAAGGAGAATTGATGCCTTTGAGCTGTGGTGCAGGAGAAGAGTATTTAATATACCATGGACTGTTAAGAAAATGAACAGGTTCAACCTGGAGAGGGTTAAACCAGGCTGCTCCTTTGAGGCAAGGATTCTGAGGCTTCATCTGACATACTTTGGACATGTTGTAAGGAGGGACCAATCCTTGGAGAGAGACATCATGCTTGGGAGGGTGGAGGGACAGCACAGGAGAGGAAGACCCTCGATGAGATGCATTAATTCAGTGACTGGGCTAATGGGGGTAGATGTGTCAGAGACAGTAAGATTGACACAGGATAGAGCAGAGTTTAGGTCTTTTGTACATAGAGTCATAATGAGTGGCAGGCAACTTGACAATACATAACAACAAAAACATAACAGTTCGGGTCAGTGTATTTTCACAACCTAAGTTTTTTCAGTAATTTCTACTTTTACCTACTTACTTTTTATAAATTTATTTCAAAATCTGTGTTTAAAGTTCTTGTTCAGATTTTGATTGTTACTATAGTTAATCACTGGATCATCACATACTCTGAGTAGTCTTGGTATTTAGTAAGAGTTAACCCTGGTAAGTCTGCCAAGAGGCACTCGTCAGAACAGAGCAGGGAAACACTGCATGCTTCAAAATTGGGAAAGGTGTACGCCAGGGATGTGTCCTATATCCATACCTTTTCAACCTGTATACAGAACAGATTATCCGAGAGGCTGGGTTCTATGAAGAGAAGTGTGGCATCAGGACTAGTGGAAGATCTATTAACAATCTGCGTTATGCAGATGACACAACCCTGCTTGCTGAAACTGAGGAGGACCTGATACAGTTGCTGCAGAGGGTCAAGGACTGCAGCCTTCAGTATGGACTGAGGCTCAGTGTCAAGAAGACAAAGATTCTCACCACTGGATCAGTTGGTAGCATGAGGATGGATGGTGAAGAGATTGAGATTGTTAACAACTTTCGTTTGCTTGGCTCCACGCTCAACACTCTTGGCACCAGCAGCCAGAAAATAAAAAAACATATTGCCATGGGAAAGTCTGCTGTTAGGGACCTCTCCAGGGTACTGAAGAGCAATGATGTCACTCTGGAGACTAAGGTGCGTCTAATACGGGCTGTAGTCTTTGCAATCACTTGTTATGCATCAGATAGTTGGACAGCGACTAGGGAGGATAGAAGGAGAATTGATGCCTTTGAGCTGTGGTGCTGGAGAAGAGTATTGAATATACCATGGACTGCCAGGAAAACAAACAGATTCATCCTGGAGAGGGTTAAACCAGGCTGCTCCTTGAAGGCAAGGATTCTGGGGCTTCATCTCACATACTTTGGACATGTCGTAAGAAGGAACAGGTCCTTGGAGAGGGACATCATGCTTGGTAGAGTGGAGGGACGGTGCAGGAGGGGAAGACCCTCTCTGAGGTGGATTGATTCAGTGACTGGGGTAATCGGGATGCGTGAGTCAGAGGCAGTGCGATTGGCACAGGATAGAGCAGGGTTTAGGGCTGTTGTCCATAGGGTCGCTATGAGTCGCAAACGACTCGACGGCACATAACAACAGCATCCCCGATTACCCTTTTATATCCAGCAGTTGCCAAAAGTTATTTTTCCTTTACTAGATCCAGAGCACAGTCTTAAAATTTTCAACTGTTTTTGGTGACTTTCCAGTTAATTTCGGTTTTAAGTCTTAATGTAGTAAATTGAATTTATTAAATAATAAAGGCAAAAGACATGCATCTCTACAATATAAATAACTTAGGAAGTTTTTCCCTAAGAAATTTTATTTTGAAAGTAGCAAAAGTATCTTGGATTGTGGTAACAAAAAGGCCAAGCATATCTGTGGCTCCAGAGATGTTATTGCTCCTATCACTTAGGTCTTGGCTGAAGGTAGAGCATGCCAGAAGGCTATCTATTTGTGCTTTCTTGATTATGTAGAAGCATTTGACTCTATGAGTCATAACAGGTTATGACTAACATTGAGATGAATGAGAAACCCAGAACACTTAACTGTGATACCTAGCCCTAGACCAAGAGGCTGTTGCCTGAAAATGTCAAGACAGCGTTGCATGATTTCAGTCTAGAAAGATGTCCCTCAGGGCTCTATCCTTTCTGGTTACCTGTTCAGTCTCTAATCTGAGCAATTCATTCAAGAGGCTGGACTTTAAGAATAATGTGACGAGACTGGAGGATACTCATCAACACCCTGAATTACACAGTTGGTACAACCTTGCTTGCTAAAAGTGAAGAGGACTTGAAATGCTTACTGCAGAATGTCAGAAGAGTATAGCCTTCAATGTGGATTACATCTTAACATCAAAAATTCTTGACTCTGGGCCAGTTGGTAGCATCTTGATAAGATGCAGAAAATATTGAAGTTGTTAACAATTTTCTCTTGCTTGGATCCATAACCAATGCCTTTATTACCAACTGTCAAGAAATCAAAAGACAGGCCACAGGCATTGGAAAAATGTCAGGGACCTCTCCAGAGTACAAAGGAGCAATGATGTTACTACAAAGACTGAAGTACACCTGATACAAACCTTGGTATTTTCAGTTACTTCCTTCTGTGCACATGAAAGGCAGTGACTAAGGATGACAGAAGATAAATCACCTTTGAGTTGTGGTGTTGAAGAAGTGTCCTGAATATTCCATGGATGGCAAAACAAACAAACAAATCTGTCTTGGAGGAACGGCAGCCAAGATGCTCCTTAGAGCCAAGATCATGTAACTTCATCATTTGCACATCTTTGGAAAGGACATCATGCTTGGAAAGGTAGAGGGTCAGAGAAAGGAAGACCCTCATTGTGATGTGATGGGTTGACACACTGTCACAGTGGACTCAAGTATATCACAGAAGAGGAGGATTGCACTGGATAGTACATCCATTGTTCTTAGGGTCGATGTGTGTCACGGTCTAATTGGTAGCACCTAACAATAACTATTTATCAATATTCAAACTTAGTAGGAAAACAGTCTGTAATTAAATCTTTTGTGTTAAGGTGCTAAGACTGGGAGGGATATTTGGAGATAGTTGTTAAATATTCGTGTTAATTTTTATTCTTGTGTTTCTTTTTTCATTCTTCCCACCTTTACCCAACCTCTCTTTGTAGGCAGGTCGATATGGACAGTTAACTTACGTTCGGAATTATCAGGGAGAGCTCAAGAAGGGCGACACCATATATAATACAAGAACAAGAAAGAAAGTCCGAGTGCAACGGCTGGTTCGCATGCACGCTGACATGATGGAGGCAAGTACAGGAGGTCTTGGGGAGAATGACAGCTTCCCTACCGTGAGCAAAGTAGTCCTCCTTTCCTGGTGGCTTGAGCTCCACTACAGGAGTCCCTGCAGCTGATCTTAAGTCTTCTCTTAGCTTTCTTCTTCTTACTCAGGCACTCTGGTCTGCATATTGCTACACTAGGTGAGGTAAATAATACATTTTAGACTGTTGAGCTAGATTTCCTCACTTGCTGACATTAAGAGAAGGAACATTCCCACAGAAGGACGAGATTGAGCACTTTGTTTGACAGCTGTCATGTCAGAGTGTGGCAGACACTTGAGCGGTAGCCTTGGCTTCAGGTTGTTCTGACCCGTAGTGACCCTGTCAGGTTTCTGCCACTGGGAATCTTAATGGAGAGAGATAGTTCATCTTCCTTTCCAGGAGCAGCTGGTGCCTTTGAACTTACCAATACATGAGCAGTACGCCACCAGGTCTCCTCCTAGGGGGATAGGGGTTGTGATTCTCAGAGGTGGGTGAGAATAATGAAGTCACATCTCTTTTCTTGCATTTGCCAATGAATTTCCTTTTCAGTGAATCTGAAGTGACCTGAAAAGCCTGATTATTATAACCCCCTGAAGGGTTAAGTTAGTACCTGGGGCCATTTAAAGATTTTAGAAATGTTTGGAGACTGGGAGATAGAAACCTGGCTGTGGCCTGACATTCTAAATTAGGCCTAAATTTGCCCTCACCTCTGTGGTGCTGCGAGCTAGGCTGTGGCAGGAATGCGAAGGACGTGCAGTTATCACCTGCCCTCACACTTTTCCTCACATGAATTCCTGGAAGAATATATGGGTATGAACAAAAGTTTTTGAGATTCAGAGATTTTTGATGGCTGTAATTTTATGGCCTGGCAGATGAATAATACGTTTAAAAAAAAATTAGACAGCATTGCTGTTTTGTGAGATAAACAGCAGGGGGCAGAGTAGTGGAATTAGTACTTGTAAGGGTTGTTTCATGAACCAGAAAAAGAGATGTGTGCAGCCACACAGCCGTGTATGCACGCATACGCGCGTGCACGCGCACCCGCACACACACACACGCACGCATATCCACACGTGTGCACACATACCCACACACATCGCTCTCACAGCCACAACCCCCCCCCCCCATGGCCACAGCTGTTATGAATGAATTGTCAACTCAAAGGGGAAAAAAAATCCTAGAAGCTTGGAGGCCCCAGTGCTTTGTTCTTGGATTTCCTGTGTTTTCTTAACTGGTTACATGCTTGCTTGCATCTGTGGAAAATTAAAATTATTTTTAAGTACAGTGGGCTCCACTCTCCTGCCTTTGTTTTAAAAACTTCCTTTGCATTTTTTCCTTGGATGTCTCTGACACACACATCTCAGTCTATTTGCTGTAACAGCATAAGCAGTGCACATGCTTTTAATTCCTAGAAATCACTTTAGACTTGTAAAGCAATGTTTTTTAGCACTGAGATCCCTTGAGCTTCTTGCCTTTCCAAATGTGGTCTAAAAAAGGTTATTTTTAAAACAATATGAGTATTTACGATCTGTGTTTGTACTTGACAGCATTAAGAAATCAGAATTGTTTAGAGGTGTGGAATGAAAGTGATTTTGTTCATCTTTATTGATACTGTTGATACACAGTTTAAAAATGTTGCCAGTGTACACTGTTATGGGTCAGTACTTAGTATTTTCAAAGGGGAATATGAAGTGCTTATGTATTCACTTTTCTTTACAGTGACTTGACTTATGAAGTTGTAGTTTGTTGTGTTTTGTTTTTTTTTTAAAGAAACGAAGCGTTTACGACATGTCTTAGCATGGTTGATTGTTGGTGTGTATGGATTCTTTCTTTGTAGAAGTGACTGTGTGATCACCACATTTGCTTTTGTAAAATGTATTTTTTTGTGCGAGTGTACTGGGTCTTGATTTGCATCACTTCTTTCATGTTTCTTTTTTCTGTTGTGTCTTTACTTAGGATGTTGAGGAAGTGTATGCCGGAGACATCTGTGCGTTGTTTGGCATTGACTGTGCCAGCGGGGACACGTTCACAAATAAAGATAATAGTAATCTTTCTATGGTAAGTCGTCTCATCTGAATTGCAAGGTCTGTTTTACCCAGAAGTTGGTTTATTGAGTACTACAGACATCAAGTATAATATGTCATTCGTAGCTTTTTGAATGTTGTTAATTAGGTGTTCTGTGTCTGCTAACTGAGGAGATTTTTTTCCCCAATAAAATCATTCCCCAGTCCTCCGTGGTTTGGTGTGTAGGGAAATCTTCATGAGATACTTTGGGTCATGTATGCCTGATCTTTCACCCTGAGATCTGCCTCCTCAGCTGGTACCTTTCTGACTACTGCCAGCATCTTCAGCTGATCTCAGGGGTGGTGCCCCCTTTTTAATTCTACACTCAGAACGCAAGTCCTTTCTTGCCGTCTTGGAGAACTGTAAGACCACCTGTACATTTATGCTAAGTTTGGGGAGAATAGAACTTAATGATGCTCAGAAAGCAAGATACACCGAGGTATTCTGTACACAGCCTGCCCTCTGGAAAGAAGAGCCAAAACCATTAGACCTGCTGCTCCTTGGTAGATTCTCACTCATGGGATCTGCGTGTTTCAGAGTAGCATGATGCCCAGATTGACGATAGCCACAGGCGTTCAGAAACAGATTGCCAGGCCTTTCTTTCTCCCTGGAAATCAGAGACTCTTTTTCATCACTGAAGAAACTCAAGAAAAAGAGCATGCTGAGGGAGTGCCTGCTTTTGGATCCATTTGATTCACTGTTTTTTTTGGTTTGTCCTCTGAAAGTGAGGAAACTTCTACACTGTTATCATATGTCCCTAAGCACAGCTCCTGTGGTGACAGCAGAAGAGAGTGTGTGTACCTAGGGAAGAGGTACTTTGTACACAAGGCATTTACAAAGCTGATTCAACCTTAACGGATGAATGCTGTAAAAGTTTAGATATTAGAGGGTGAATTCATAATTTTGTAATTCGGTTTCTTGGTGTATAATTTTCTGTGTTGATTTAAGACTGTACCAAAAAAATCTTCAAAGCTATTTGTAGATTTTATAGTTGGAATCTTGATAAGGACACTGTTTTTATCAATATTCGTCAAAATTTTTTTTTCTAAATCTTTTGCATTAGCAGTCTAAAGAGACTAGATGTGTAAAGTGCCCAGGCTTTGAAGCAAGTAGTCTGGGTTGCTCTCACATCGGCCCCAAAATGCCTGCTGGGCCTTGGTCAGATTTTTGGACTTATTTCCATGTCTTCAGAGATCTCATTTGTCCAAGGAGAACAGTACCCCCTGCCTCTAAGTTAGGATGATTGAATGTGGCATCACGCATGTAAAGAACCTAGTGCCCTTTCTCTCATTCCTTTATCAGTGATCATAATATGTGTGGTTAAGTAAAGCTTGGTAGCGGAACTGAGGGAAGAAACAAATGCAGCCATTAACCAATACGAATTGCTTTTGGATTTATTATAGTAATTGTGTTAAATTGACAGTGTCTGTAAACGTAAGGACTTTAGAAATTTAAGGAAGCAAATAGATAATTTTGTCTTATTTTAGGGAGGGAAAGGGGTGAAACATATTAAGTGGACACTTGTGTATTTAATGAAAATCACACCAACATGGTCTGATTGTCCAGCTTCAGGATGTTGGTGTCTGTCCTGTTCTCTTTAAAGTTAAATGCAAAATTTATTTCATTCCTGACTCTCTTATTGTTGTATTTTAATGTCCCTGTTCTTTTAATATATATTTTAGGAGTCAATTCATGTTCCCGATCCTGTCATTTCAGTAGCAATGAGGCCTTCTAACAAGGTAGGAGATCATTTAGTGTATGGTAGTAAACGCTTGAATTCTTTTTCATCTGTCTGTACAGTGCACCATAACCAGCATTCTTAGTCTGTATTATCACTGCTGCTACTAAGATCACCTTTTAAAGTGTGTCAGTCTGTTCCTTGTAATAACACTTCAGTATGTCTAAAGAAATTAAAGGCATTGAAATGTTCACTTTATCAGAGTAGTAGTTGTAACTTCTGATTCAGATCATAAAGGTGTAGACAGAAAGGACATTTGTCTTCAGTTACAATGGTAAAAGCTCAGTGTAAAGTACACTAGAGTGTTGCACATACTGATTGTCTCATGGGTTTTGATGCATCTCCAGATTTCTTGATAATTATGATTGTAAATGCCTGGTTATAAAAATGGAAAGCCTGTAAACAAGGCTATTTTTTCTCATTCTGATGTATAATTATTTTGTAATTGGGTGTGATATCATTAGATTTTTACAAAGCCAGATTGGCCCTGAATAGGTTCTGCATTCACATTACTTGAATTAGTCCTGATACTGAGCTGTAATTATTTAGTTCTTAAATTGCATTGACATAACACTCATTTTAATATAGTTTATTGAAACTTGTTCACTCATGTACTGAGTGAACACTCTGTGGCCACTTGTCATTTGGGAACTTTACAGAACGTTTTCTGATTTATTGTCATCTGGGATATACATTATTAACAGCTACTACTTAATCAAATTTGAGGAATCTTGAGGATTTTTTTGCAGACTTTTAATCTTCCTTACAGAGTAGAGATGTTGAAGTGGCAAGAAATATTAAATCACTCCATTTTCTCAGATTTGAAGAAAAATAACCTTACACTTATGTATTCTTCTAAGATCCCATATGTTATAGTTCCAAACACTTTCCTAAATTACATGTGTTTTCTTAGAAATATGCAGGATAAGTCATTAATTTATACATCTTCATCCCTATGTCTAAGGTTTGTGTAATACATTTAACTGATGCTAGCTTACAGTAATACAAGGGAATCAGATATGTCAGTATCAGAAAAGATTTTTAGTATCTAGGGTTGTCTGTACACTGGGAATTTTTAAATGTGTCCTAAGGCTGTTCTAACAAATTGCCACAAACTGTTCTTAAAACAGCAGAATTGTGCTGTTTCACAGTTTGGGGGCAAGCAGACTTAATTCAAGGCCATCAGCAGGCTTGTCAGGTTCTCTGGATGCTCTGGGCAAGACCCCTCCTGTCTCTCCCAGCTTCTGTAGTGCCAGGCATTCCTTCGTTTGTGGGAGCGTAAGGCCACATTCCCAGGTACTGAAGGTGAGGACTTGAGCATATCTTTTATGTGGGGACCTATTTCAACCCTTAAGAGTATATGGTTTGGAAAGTCTTTATTCTGCCCGCCACATAAGGAATTGTGTTTAAATAAAGATGCATTGTAATACATCCAAGCAGATTGTTTTACAAAGGCAAAGTTTCAGTGTAGCATTGACTATTGTTTTTCATTATTCTGCTTGATTTTATAGTGGAGCCCTGAGTTAGCATGCAATTCCTTTGATTATTTTTATGAATCAGACAAAGCCACAATCCACTGGAGTCAGTGCTACACAATGACTCTCCACTGAATTCCCGAGACTGTAAATCTTTCTTCATGGGAATAGCTGATGGATTTGAACCGTTGGCCTTTTGGTTAGCATCACATATAACATTCAAGTACCAGGACTCCTTATGCATAGGATTTCTAAAGTGTGATTCACATTCAAATTTCTACTTTATTTTCAACCACACATGGGCAATTTTTGTCTGTGTAGTAATAAAAGGTAGAGTTAAGTCTTCTTACACACTTGTTTGTCTTGTTATGGAAAGAAATATTTGCTTTATTAAATATTAATTACATTATTTTGGTTTTTTTTTTAAAGGGTGATCTAGAAAAGTTTTCAAAAGGTATTGGCAGGTTTACAAGAGAAGACCCCACATTTAGAGTCCATTTTAACACTGAGAGCAAAGAGACAATTGTGTCTGGAATGGGGGAACTGCACTTGGAAATCTATGCCCAGGTAACTAACAAGGAATTCATGCTATTACTGTCTGTGTTTTGTTAAGAGAAGTCAGTGACTCTCAGTCTATGACCACAAATTAAAGCTGGTTCTTCTGGCTCTCTTTGGCCTATGTATGTTACATGACCTACTCCACTGTGTGTTCTAAGTGAACTATTTTTACCTCTATAAACCTCTTAGTATTTATAAAACATTGACGATTTCCCCTAGGTCAGGAGTTCCAACTTAGGGAGACTACCTGTGAAGAAAACCTTGTGGAGAAAAGGTGCCCACAATCATCCTTGCTTGTTGCCCTCCCTCAAATCAGCCTCCGTCACCGTGTGCGGAGGTGTGAGATCTGACTTCCCTAGAAAAGGTCTTGTCTATAAAGATGAACAAAAACAAAAAGTACTTAAGATTATAAAAATAGTTATGATCTGTCTTTGAAGTTAAAATAGCAGAAGAGCTCTGATAATAGATTTGCAGTAGAAGATTCTCACCACTGGGCCAATTGGCAGCATCAGTATGGATGATGAAGAGATTGAGATAGTTAACAGTTTTAGTTTACTTGGCTTCACGGTCAACACTCTTGGTAACAGCAGCCAGGAAATCAGGAGACGAACTGCATTGGGAAAGTCAGCTGTGAGGGACCTCTCAAGAGTACTGAAGAGCAACAATGTCAGACTGGAGACTAAGGTGCGCCTGATCCGGGCTATAGTCTTCGCAATTAGGTGCTATGCATCAGAGAGTTGGACAGTGACTAGGGTAGATAGAAAGAGAATTGATGCCTTTGAGCTGTGGTGCTGGAGAAGGGTGTTGAATATACCATGGACTGCTAGGAGAACAAACAGGTTTGTCCTGGAGAGGGTGAAGCCAGAATGTTCCCTGGAGTCAAGTATTCTGAGGCTTCGTCTGACATATTTTGGGCATGTTGCAAGGAGGGACTGGTCCTTGGAGAGGGACATCATGTTTGGCAGAGTGGAGGGGCAGTGAAGGAGAGGAAGACTTTTGATGAGATGGATAGATTCTGTGACTAGAGAGGTGGGAATAAGTGCATTTGAGAGGGCTAGGTTGGCACAGGATAGAAGAGCTAAGAGTCGCAAGCAACTCGATGGCGCATAACAACAACAACAACATATAATAATAATGGAACAGTGGTAAATCTTTTAGTAGACAGATTAATTACAAGTAAGTGTTAGAAATTAGAACCTTTTTATGCTTAACTCTGTAAACCTAAGTTTGCATTATCTAATTATCATTCGATGCCTTATAAAGAAGCTGGAGATTTATAGCTTGCTTACCTGTTAGATTAAAATGAATGCTCTTCCTGTATTTAAGATACTTATAATTTTTTTCTAATTAAAAAAAATACATTAAATAATGACAGTTTTCCTGCCGTCTGCCCCGTTCCTCACCCCCTCTCCTCTTCCCTTTCCCCTTTTGAACATTTAAACACCTATTGTTCAGTTAGCCTTCTGTTTTCACAAAGAAGCAATTGGGGATTTGAAAAGATGTGGTGATAGCAAGTGAAGATCAATAGTAGTTATATAAAATACAATGTATATAGGGGAGCTCTGGTGGCCTAGTGGTAAGGAGCTGCAACTACAATCCCAGAGGCACACGGTTCGAATCCACCAGATGCTCTGCCGGGGAAGGAGGGACAATCTCCTCCTGTACCAGTCAGATCTGATTTGACGGTACACTTACACAAAAATAATAAAATAAAAAAATACAATGTATATGAATGATTGATTATATAACAATAAAAATGTTACTTAGAATACAGCATTAATTTCTACTGATTGTGAAAGAGCATGATTGGTTGTCCTGGTAAATATCACTTTAGTCTATATGCAGAATGAATTATGATTTTCATCTATCTTGATGGGAAAATTGGCTCATCATCCTTCATTTCCTCCCCCCTTGCCTTTTCTTCAGAGGATGGAAAGAGAATATGGCTGTCCTTGTGTCACAGGAAAGCCAAAAGTCGCCTTTAAAGAGACTATTACTGCGCCTGTACCGTAAGTATGCAATACAGTGAAACATGATTATGAAGCTGGGATGGAAGCTTTTTATTTTGGATTATACATTGGACTATACTTTTATTAAGTGAACTTTTCATTATGGAATCCGTAGTTCTGTACTATAGTGTAATGTAAACAAGACAGTTATACAAAGTGACACTTTAGGATTAAGCTGGGTATAAATGCAGACTGTCACAGACATCATCAGTAAGCATGTTAACACTTCACCCCAGCTTTTGGGTCATGGTTTATTCCAGTTGTGCTTCCTTCGGTAGACGGCTGTTATGTTTCACTTTAGTGCCATATTGTGGGTGCCAGAGAACTTGCATTTGCCAAGGAATAATCTCCTGCATGTAAAGAAACCAAAGGTCACAGTGAAATTGCGAAAATATTTAGGAATATATGGTTGGGTGTATGTTTTGTTAGCAACAAATAGTCCTCAAAAAAAAGAGTAGCATAAAAGACTGTGTCAGTTGTAAATACTTCAGCCTAATGCTGTCTGCATTTACATGAATTTTTATTTAAAGTCCAAATTAATAAAGCATACTGTGGCTATAATACTTATCTCAGTTTTCAGAGAGGCATCAAGTAAAGATCAGGTGACACTTACCTGAGATGCAATGTCATGCAGTAGAATGGTGTAGTCTAATTCAATGAAGTCGTCATTTCTTTGCTATGAAAAAAGAAAAACCTGGCGTTTGAAATTTAGTATCATTGTGACATTTAAATTTCTACAAATCAGCTTTCATTAGCAGATGATTATACTATTAATTTAGGTAAAAATAAAAATTGAATGTCACCATACATTTTTGTTTAGCCTGGGATAAACTATTCTACTGTAAAGAAGTACTCTTTCAAACTACATTTTAAAATCCTGATTTTTCACTTGTTGCTTTAAAGGTTGTTTAGTTTCTAGGTTGTTGGTTAAGCTGTTTAAGAGCATTACACTGTAGTTTGTTATTTAAACTCTTAATGTTTCCATTGCTCAGAGAAGCAGAGTATAATGGCTAAACACTGAAATCAGTGTTTATATTAAAGGAAACATTTTTATAATATAAACTGTTTTGCGGAAACTTAAGATACTGGTAGTTCTGGTAATAATTAGTTCCTCGCTGCATCTTTAGGAGGTAGTTATGTTGGATCAAGGGCATCCAGTTCATGCCCTGGTAACATCGTGTGTTACCTGTCAGGGTGCTAATTGGAAGATGAGACAGTTTGCTCCCATTAAGATGCCCAACCTTGTAAAACTGGTGAAGGGTAGCGAGGAACTGGACAGACCAGACAGCAGTGAGTTTGGGTCTTTTTTGGAAGAGAAAGTGGGTTTTCTGGTCCTAGAAAAGGCTCAGAAGTCTGATTTCAGAGCTGTGGTGATGGGCAGTTAGTCAAGGTGACTCTGATTCAGGATTTGTTTTTGAGTAGTTGCTGTTCATTCTTTTCAGAGTGAGGGCAAATTTACATATTTTGGAAGGGAATAAATAGTTGTTCTTAAATTGACATCAGTAATCCAGATTTCAATAATCTGGAGACTGTCTGTAGTAAAAGATAAATGTAGTCATTTAATAATATAAGTAAAGTAAATCAGTTGGTCTGTACTGTTTATTGCTTTGGGAAAAAAAAGTATTTATACTGTATAGCTATTTATATACAAAAATACCACATATGCATAGTTTTAAAGCTGTGATTATCAGAGATTTTCCTTGCTTACACAGGCTTTTTAAAGTTTTTATTTTATGTATTTAAACAATTCCTAGACTCCACGGAGTAGCACAAGTTTTGGCTAACAGTGATTGTAACTGATACCCAGGGAAGTACTATCTTAAAGTGTATTTTCTTGTAAGGAGAAGTATCTTTCCCCTCCCCCTTTTAAATAAACCAATAAAGATTTGTTGATGAATTAAAAATACACCTTTAAAAAAATATATACCTTTAAAATGATGTAGAAATAGGTAAAGTTTCTTATATGCTGGATCTTAATAGGTAAACATATTTACTATGCATGCCTTGGAGTAGGAAGAGAGAGCTAATTCCCCCTCCCCCATACTGTCAGGCCAGGGGAGGCTAGCTCAATCTTTCTGTTGAAATTTTCATGAGTGCCTTAAAATTCCCATTTGGAGAAGGGTCCTAGGAGTTTTCAGTCATAAAACTACTACTATTGCATATTTTTCTAAAAATAGACATTGAAAATTTTCACTTTATTTTTATGGTTTCTGCAACTTAGGCCTGTTACTCAATTAGCTGAGGCCTCTGAACCCTTGTAGGAACGCTGTAGCCAAGGTCACTGTCTATGAAAATGTGTTAGAAAAAAGGCTCTGTCGTAATTAGAAAAAATGTTGTTATAATAGTGATGCCCAGTCATTGGCATCAGTCTGAGCTCTTTAACTGGGTGCTTGCCCACCGCTGGTCTGTCAGGATCTCATAGGAGTTGTGAGGGCCTGGGAAGGAAAGGTGGTTCATCTTCCTTGCACTGTGCTGCTGAAAGTCTTACTGACTGGAAGTGTGAGCTTTCAATGCCCTTTTTCTTGCTTTCCATTAGATGCTAGCTGAATCATGTGTTCTTTCCTTCACCTTAACAATCCATACCCCAAAGGATTTATTATTATATCTGTAAGAAAGAAGCAGTTCTAAGTAGTTATATTAGGTATAAAAAAATAAAAAGCTAGGAACAAGTAAGATTTAAAATGGCAAATTGTGACTGAGTTTAAAAAAAAAAGTATGCAGCCAGCTAAGGAATTGGTAGTGGAAATATTTTAGAGATCAGAGTGAACTTCACTACGATTGAGAAATTCAGACTGACTGGAGAGGTGGAGGTGCTGCCCACTATGACTCTCACCCACTGGTGAGACCACTATTTTGATAAGAAATAACACAGTGTTGGTGTTGCACAACTGTGTAATTCCAAAAGAAAAGAAAACAAAATGTAAATTGCCAGTGTGAATAATCTGTGTAGAGCTAAGCATAAAACAGAATGCCAGATTATTTACAACTCAGGACTTCCCACTGTTGAAATTGCAAGAAATGGACAAAAAGACCAAGAGTTCAAGAAGAAATGCAATAGAAATGGATACATAATAACTAACTTCACTTGTGAGTGCCATAAAAAATGTCCCCATCACCTGTGTATAGCTCCTCAAAGATGGGGGAGAATCATTAGCAGTTGTTCAGTGTTCCCTAAGAATCTCTTTCTACCTCGACTCCAAATAAAACTCCAAATCTGTTTCCACTAGAACAGGAATGGAATAAAGCATCGTGGTCAAATCTGACTTGCCAAACATGTAAAGTTAAAAACACTTAATATTATTATACCATTAGAAACAGTAGTCTAGATACTACCTATTAGTCAAAAGTATTCTGTCAAAATCCTTGGCTCTGCCGTGCTCTGGCCCCTGGTCATTGTGAGCCCTGGCCTCGTTATTATTAGGAAGGTAAATGTGAGGCAGACCAAGCAGCTCGGCCAAACCAACCAAGCGGCTTTCAGAACCAGCTGCTGTTGCTCTGAACCCTTCCCACAACTGTTCACGGGCTCCAGCCCTGCTTGTAACCGACCTCCGTTTAAAGTATTTGATTAACTATTGTAATACAAAAGGAGTAAAAACAAAAAACCAAAACCACTGTATCAGTTACAGTATTTTAATAAATATTAACCCTATTAATTGTATGTGATAGCAGTTACTTACCACTTGCTTGACAGTTTGAATTTTTATCATTTTATACCATGTATTTTCAGTAGAATTCTGCCATATTATATAACCACAGGCAACCCAGGCTAAATGTCGAACTGGCTTCATTTCTGGAGATACATTTCCAAAACTGTCTGGTAGGAGAAACATCATATTAAATGTTAAATAATGAAATATAATGGATTTTTATATAAGTATTAACCTTTAAAAAGGAGTTTTTAATCATAATTTCCTTGTATTGGGGGGAAAAAAGACATTAAGCTATGGATCTATAAAGTTCCAAAGCTTTTTGTTGTTGTTAACTAGATTGCCAATTCTGTCTTTGCAAAATCCAGTGCATTTCCAACAAAATATTACTAACACTTTTTGAGCATAGGCAATTGAAATACTAAAATGGAAACAAAATTTTGTTCTGTGTCCTATTTATGTACCTGGGATATTTTGTGCTTCTAGTGGTTCCTTCATGGACTTGAGTCTTTGATAAAATGCATTATCTTCTTTATCTGGGTTCTTTCCGATTTCTCCTTCAAATGTGAAGTTGACTTCTGGTGCAGTGTCTTGTTCAGCTGGAGGGTAAAGGACTTCTGCTGTGCAGTTCACTGTGATTTGCTGTTGGAGACATTTTAGAAAAGCTCCTTACATTTACACTAGTGTCCTTTGAGAGACCCCTGGCAGTACTGGTTTGGACCTGACTTTTTCTAGAGGTGTCTGATGAGAACTGACCTAGTAAGTTTTCGTATCCTGGAAAAAAAAAACCTTCTAGTCTCACCACCTTTCTTGTAACTTGAATCGATTTCAGTTTTAATGGGGTATCCATTTGCAAAATGAGATTTTAGTTTGTTTATGTATATCTTCTCCAATTGCTGGTTACTTTTTAAGTCTTTCCATTACTCTGTCTGCTCCCAAAAGTACAGAAATTTCCTCAGACCAGATACAGCAATCTGGGGTAAAATCGCAAGTAGTTATGCTTTGTAGAAGGTGGCTGTCTCTTTTGAATTATGTTCAAGAAAAGGGCAAGCTTTTAAAAATTTCGAGATGGTTTGGTACAAATTGTAGTTCCTCCTTCTTAAATTTGTCTCATTAATAATTTGGCTGGTCCATAATATAAAAATGTTTCAGTCCTTCCTTACCTGAAAAGAGGTTCCAGCTGGCCATGTATCACCAAGGCACTTACTTTCTTTAACTCTCCAGCCAGAAACAGAATAAGAAAGGCAGACATACGTGATCAAGAGTGAAGAATGAACTACTTATTCTTATAGAGCATAAGCTTAGACTGCTCCATGAGTATGTAATTTTTAAAAAATTATTTTCTGGCTTTACAGAGCAGATATTTAGTCCAAATCAGGACCATGCCATGTGGATGCCTTCATCACTGGCAGCCCCAGGTGTCTCCTGACTCCCCGCCCAAGGCATCCTCCCCCGGGTTTTCTCCTCACTGTCTGTGTTCCTCTTTATGTAATGCAGAAGCAGTTTGGTTTAGGTACGACCCTATACTGCCTGATTATGTTACAGTATATTGAAATTTCTCATGGAGCCTTACATTAGATTTTATTTCCACAGGTATGGGGTTAGAGTTCCAGCACATACTCGAGGGGAACATAATTTAATCCATTACAGGAGGCCGTGGGACTGAAGTAAAGGTTGAGTTGTGAGTGGAGGAGAGTGAGGGGGCAGTCAGGTTGGAGGAGGCCAAAGCTGAGGCCAAGATGAGCCAACTGGACTTGGCTGCAGGCTTAGTCTAAGTCTAATGCTCAGTTGCCTCTTAAGGCCTTTTATTCTGTTAAAATATATTCTCAGGGGCTTTCTCAGGCTGCAGAGAGTGGCCATGGTGACCGCATTCGGCAGAGTAAGGAGCATTTTTCTCACTGAAGGGCAGGGGTTTCTTGCCAGGCACCTTAAAATCAGTCCACATCAAGCCCTGCAGCCTGTCCTGAGCCATCCTCCCCCTTTTCAGGGGTGGGGCAGTGACTGCTGCTGTGGAGCAATGGACAGAAGAATTTGGCCACAGTTCAGACTAATATAGTGGCGACAAGAGGTAAAGCTAAAGCTGATTAGCGCAGCCAACCACCCAGCATGCAGATTGCCAGGCTCCTCACCGAGTCTGACAAGGCTGCTCGCAGGCTCTTGTCACCTCCAGGTGGGTTCTGTGCTTGAACTGTAATGTGCAAATGACTTCCACTGTAGAAGCTGGTCACCAAGCTAATCTTTCCATCTCTGATGTGAGAACCACGGGAACCTGTTCACTGCAGGTCAGTAAGCAAGCACAGGCAGGCCCATGCTTACCGGAACTGCACCCTTGTTAGGGCTGTAAGTCTGAAAAGACGCTTTCATTCTGTAGGAATGTATTAGAGGATCGGGAGACAGAGAATCCAGCCAGTGTACAATAGCTTAAGGAGACTGAACGGAACTGAAAGATACTAGAGTCTGTTTTCTAAATAGCACATTGAAATAGTTCATGAATTTTGGAAAACACAAAAAGAATATGAACTTTGTATATTTTACCCACAGGGACAGTGATTTATTAAAGTCAAGGATTTCATATCAACTTTAAAAACAAACCGAAAACTAATCTTGTGATTTGGCGAGCTAAAATAATCTAGAATATTCATAATGAAATGTTAATAGTAAAGATGATTTCACTTACTTTTTGGATAATTTCTTCCACAGAAAATTTAAGGCGATACTTATGTCCTGTTCCCGGAATATCCTAAAATTAACAAAAAGTGGTTAAGGAAAGAAAATTCTTTAATAACTCAGTTCTTTGTATTGTTAGAAGAATCCATTTGATTAGAGGGGAGATTGATGCCTTAGGCATTGAAAAATGGTTGTCACCAGATGCTCTGCTGAGGAAGGAGGGACAGTCTCCTCCTGGCCCTTTTAGATCTGATTTGACGGTACATACATTAAAAAAAAAAAAAAAGAAATTTTTTTTTTTTTAAATAATTAAGAAAAAAAGAATGACAAAGGGTTGTCACCATGTCTGTAATTTCTCACTTAGCAGGTCCTCTGTCAGGTTGATTTTGGACAAGAACAAAAGTGTAGGATACAAACCTACAAATAAAGTGGGCACAGCTCAGTTTCTTTCATTACTTCATAACATTTGGGTTTGTGGCCCTGAATTCTATGCATAATAAATTGTGAGACAACTTTTAATTCAAATGATGATGAAAAATAGGACATATCTTTGAAAATATTTCTTCCATAAACGCCCAGTTATTCAGTGAAGGTAAATTCCACTTTGAATCAGACTAACTGAAAAGTGGTCAGACACTTAATATTACCTTTACCTAGTATATCGTTGACCCGCAAAATGACACTGAAGTTTCACAATTTTAAGGCAGTTTATAACTTAATTATGTTATCAGTGGCACAGTTTCAAACTAATACTCACGTCAAAATTATGTAAAATAAGAGGCAGTCTTAAATCCATTCCATTTTGATAGCCTGAGAACTTGTAGCATACTGCTTGGTGATTGATGAGGCCTGTCCACTTTAACCCTTTGGGCAGAAATCTCATCATTGAAAGCGGGCAGTGGCGGTGGTGTTTGTGGGAGGAAAGCCACGGATCCCAGTGTTTTTATTACGACTGGTTGTCAGCTGTTTTTTGCACTGGTTTTGCAGTTTGTTTTGATCAAAGGACTTAATAAGGATTGGGTTTAAAATGTAGGCAAGCCTTAGGTGGTCCCAGTTGGAGAAGCAGCAGTTTTAAGAATGCTCAGAAAGGTTCTTCTGGAAGATGCCTCCATTCTTTTAGATCCTTTTCCCATTTCCCGCCCCGCCCGCCTTCCAAGCATCCCACTTTGCAGGGACCCTGCAGGACCCAGAGTGGGATCGCTTTCCCGGCCACAGAACCAGAAGGAAGCAGGCTGGCGGCTTCCAGCTGCTCCCTGTGCCGGTGTTTGTGCCTGGAGAAGGGCAGGTCGGAATGTGGCCAGCTCAGCTTCCCCAGAGCAGAGGGACCACTGAGGCGGAGGGTCTGCGGGGAAGGTCCGGCGAGGGGGTCCGGGAGGAGGTGTCCGGGGAGGGGGGGTTCGGGAGGAGGGGGCCCGGGAGGGGGTGTCCGGGAGGAGGGGGTCCCGGACGAGGGATCCGGGGGGAAAGGGGTCCGGGGAGGGGGGCCCCGGGGGAGGGGGTCCGGGGAGCCGCCGGGCGCGGACTCACCTCCATGCTCGCCTGCTGGACCGTCTGCACCAGGAACACCTTGTGCGGGGTCCCCTGCTGGTAGTTGATGCAGTTCTCGGCCACCGAGGCCGCCCTAGAGGCCGGGTAGTGGGTCGGCGGGATTTCCATGCCTGCGAGTGGGGGCCGGGCGCCAGCGGAGCTGCTCGGGCGGGCAGCCTGCTCACGAGGCGGCCGGCGGCGAAGTGGGCGCGGGGCGGGGCCGCCGCTTCCCTCCTCCGTCCCTCCCTCGGGTCCCTCCTTCCTTCCCCGTTCCCTCCCTCCCTCCCTCGAGTCGGGAAGCTGCCTGCTGGGCCCCGCCCTGCCGCCAGATTTTCGCTGGGTGTGGACACCAGGCCTCCTTTCCTACAGGTCCTGGTGGGCTAGGCCTGCAGGGACCTTGTGCTTTCGTCACCTTTGAAATCCATGCTCCTCTGAGGCCTCCAGTTCCCTCCTGTGGACGGGGTCCGGCTGCGTCACTTGATCGCGTCCGCACACCGCCCCCAGGTGCAGCCAGGTGCGAGGTCCAAAGGTGCGCCAGCAGTGACTCGGTCCTGAGGCCCTGCGCGGAAGGGGGGTCTGCACAGGCCTGCTTGTCTCCTGGCCTTCTGTCTGCCCAAGTCAGGGTATGAGACGGTATTTGCTAGAACTTTTGCAATTTAAGATGAGGTTTTGATACAACACAAAACACCTAATTTGAATCACTGAAAATTTTAGCTTAAGGCTTAAAACATTTATTGACTGCCTTCGAATGGAGCACAACTCGAAGCGACCCTATGAACAAATGCCCTGAAGCCCCTCTACAGCTATCAACATTTATCAAGGTTCATAGACTTTCTGGAGGCATATTGTTTAGGAAGTGGATGCAACTCCTGCTTCCAGTAAACATATTTAACAGGTGAATTTACTCGAAGCATTACACTGAAATAGCTTCTAACCCAAGCAGAAGTTTTCAAAGCTGCTGAAAAGCAGGGCAACTTTGCATAAGCAGTGCATTTTCATGCTTTAGTTACCTTTTGGTGTCCTCTTAAAGAAACTGTAACTTAGACTCTTTTTTGGCTTGGACCTCCATCAGGAAGCCAAGATTGCGTTTAATTAATCTCTGCAATGGTAAGAGAATTCAGATGTGAAAAGGTGGGTGGGTCGAACCCACTAGCTAATGAATGAGAAGATGATGAGGCAGGCAGCTCCAGTACAGATTTACCCTCTTGGAAATTCTAAGGCAATTCTTCACTGTCCTACAAGTGTGGTGGTTATGTGCCTCTAGTTGACCTTGACCCATAGCAACCCTGTACACAGTAGCTCTGAATCCTGCCCTGTTCTGAGCCAGCTTCACCATCTGCCCCCATTTCTCAAGCTACTGTGTCAGTCCATCCGATCTGGGGTCTTCCTCCCCTGTTCTCTTTCTCCACCCTTCCCAAAATGATGTCCTTCTTCAAGGACTGGTCCCTCCTGGCCTAACGTATGTGAGACCCGGCTTCAGAATCCTTGCTTCCAGGTTCTAAATGGTTAATGATTTCTAAATGGTTAGTAAGTTTGGTAACCTGAAACTTGAATAATATGAGTGTTTAGCTGCAATAATAAAGACATGTTGCATTGAGGAAATCTGCTATCAAGAACTTCTTAAAGTGCGAAAGAGGAGGTGTGTTAAAATTGATGATTTTGAGATGTAGTGTTGGCAAGGAGTATAGAATATCCCGTGGACTGCTAGGAGAACCAACAAATCTATCTTGGAGCAAATGCAACTGCGTGTCTCCGTAGAGGCAATGATGATGAAACTTCATCTCATATACTTTGGGCATGTTGTCAAGAGGAGCAGACTTTGGAAAAGCTATCATGCACATTACGAAAGGTAGAGGTCCAGGGTGAGAGGAAGACCCTCAACAAGATAGACTGACACAGTGACTGTAACAGTGGGTCTGAGTGTATTCGTAGATTGTTGGGATGACAGCACGTAGGGCACTGCTCAGATCTCTTGTTCATAGTCCAACTAATACCACACTGACGGCACAGTTGTTAAAGCACTAGGCTGCTAACAGAAAGGTTAGTAGTTTGAACCTGCTAGCTGCTCTCCTGGAGAAAGATGTTGCTAGTCTGCTTCCAGAAGTTCCCAGCTTTGGAAACACCACACACTGCTGCTCTCCTCCGCACGTATTGGTGGCAACTGGAGTTGGAAATGATATAACACTGAGGAGTTTGGTTTTTTAAGTAAACATAAAGTAAAAACACCTATGAATTGTGATTTAATAGGAACTTGAAGGAAAAACATTGTATATAAACAACAAAACTAACACAGTTGTAGTAAATATTAGTTTTACTGTGATAAATGATGTCTTGCCAAAACTAAATTGCTGCGTTCCATGGCCTTCATTATTATTTTACCTTCATTATCTGTGGCTGCCTGCAAGTGGTGCTTTTATTCTTCTGCCTCTGCTCTATTCAAACTCTTGCAGAGTCTTTTTTTAGCATCTTCTCATGACATCTGACTTAAGGTCTTTCCTCCATTGGGTTTCTGAGTCTGTAAACTACACAGGAGATTGCCCGTCTAAAGTGTTTAGCACAGACATGGTACCTTATGCTTTTGAATCAACTCTAATTCCTGCCAACCCTGTTGCTGTGTACCATCCAGTCAGAACCGGCCTGTAGTGACACTCAGGTTTTTAGAGACAGTAAATCACATGGGAGGAGATTGCCCATCTTCCTCCTGCAGAGCAGCTGGTGGATTTGAATCACATACCTTTGGATTGGCAGTGCATTTTCTTACCAGTAAGCGCATCAATATGGATTGAGGCTCAACATCAAGAAAACAAAGATTCTCACCATTGGGCCGATTGGCAGCATTGTGATGGATGATGAAGAGATTGAGATTATTGACAGCTTTAGTTTGCTCGGCTCTACAGTCAACACTCTTGGTACCAGCAGCCAGGAAATTAAAAGACGTATTGCAATGGGAAAGTCTGCGGTTAGAGACTCTCCAAAGTACTGAAGAGCAACGATATCAGTCTGGAGACTAAGGTGCACCCAATCCAGGCTGTGGTCTTTGCAGTCACTTGCTATGTATCAGAGAGCTAGGCAGTGACTAGGAATGATAGAAGGAGAGTTGATGCCTTTGAGCTTTGGTGCTGGAGAAGAGTATTGAATATACCATGGATGCTAGGAGAACAGACAAGTTCATCTGGGAATGGGTGAAGCCAGGCTGCTCCTTGGAGGCAAGGATTCTGAAGCTCCATCTGACATACTTTGGACATGTTGCAAGGCGGGATCACTCCTTGGAGAGGGATGTTGTGCTTGGGAGGGTGGAGGGACAGCGCAGGAGAGGAATTGATTCAGTCCCTGGGGTAATGGGAATGGGCGTGCCAGAGACAATAAGATTGGCAAGAGATAGAGCAGAGTTTAGGGCTGTGGTACATAGGGTCGCTATGAGTTGTAGGCGACTCGACGGCACATAACAACAAGCCCATCCTAGCGGCCCTGTGGACATCAGGTCTGAACCTTGCTGCCTCCTGCTCTGTCCTCACAATCTGATATGTTTGAGGTGTTTGAGCCCTGTTGTTTCACTGTGTCAGTCCATCTTGTTGAGGGTCTTCCTCTCTTTCTCTGAACCTCACCCTCACCCACTTGTTGTTTGCCGGTAAGTGAAACTGACCCATAGCTAACCCTCCAGCAGGTTTTCAAAGGCAGCATATCACACAGATGGAGTTGGCCAAACCTTCTGCCGTGGAGCAGCTGGTGGATTCAAACTGTGTGTTTTTAGGATTGCAGTGCAGCTCCTTAACACTAGGCACCTTCTTCCAAGGACTGACTTCTCCCTACAAAATGTCTAAAATATTTGAGACACAGTTTCACCACCCCTGCCTTTAAAGACCATCTTGGTTGCATTTCCACAAAGACAGACTTATGTGTTCTTTAGGCATTCCATGGGGTATTCGATACTCTTCCCCAACAGCACAATGCAAAGGCATTGATTCCTCTGTTATCCTTATTTATTAGCACACATTCACATGCTTGGGAAACAGTTGAAGCCGAGTACCATGGCTTGGATCAGGCATACCTTGGTCTTTAAACTGACAGTCTTGTTCTCTAGTGCTTTGGAGAGGTCATGAACAGCAGATTATCCCGTCTCCGCACGTCTTTTATTTCTTAACTACTGGCATCATGGGTGTTGATTGTGGATCCAAGTGAAATGAAATAGTTGACAACTTCAGGCTTTTCTCTCTGTTGTGATGTTGACTGTTGGTCCAGTGGTGAGGATTTTTGTTTTTTTGATTTTCAGATTTAATCCACATTGAAGGCTGCAGCCTTGAATCTTTTGCAATAAGTGCTTCAAATCTTCTTTGCTTTTTGATATGAGTGTTCAATTATTTGACACCCATTTAATTATAAATTCAGAAACAGCCCTAAAACTGCCTCGAGTCACTGGTCTGTGGATGGATTCTCCAGAAAAGCAGTGTTGTCCCCAGAAGAACTTGGTGTAAAATTCAAGTACTCTGCACTGCCTGCTGCAGCAGCCACTTACTTTCCTTATGTGGCTACTGTGAGCACAGGACTAGTTTCGTTTAATTCAGATCTCTGTGCTTGGTGACTGCTGTATGCCTAACACAGTTCTATCTAGGGTGTGTTTGCACAAATGTTATTGTCAAATTGAAGAAAAAACTTACATTGTCTGAGAATGTGTTTGTGGACCACAGTTTGAGGATTAGTTCTGGAATCTCTGGTGATTGCTATTTGCCCCCCTCATGGTTCTGATAGGTGGGGCTTTTCTCCCAGGAAAACTCTCTCCACAAAATGCTGCCTGGCCGACCCTGAAGTTCTTGACCACTGATGTATTATCTGAAGGCCTTTAGTCATCTCTCTCATGGCATCTTACTGATGCTCCTTCCCAGCTGCTCTGATCTGTCCACAAGAACACACTCATTAATGTGCATTTACCTGCAGTGATCTGCAGATAATTTTAAAAGCAGCTGGCCTCTTAGACCTAACTGTGTTGAGCAAAGTTTCAGTTTAAGGAAGAAATGCACTAAAGTACTGTTTTTCTCCTTGGAATACTAACCTGTGTTTGTGTATGTAAATATAATGATTTCCTGTTTATATTGCCATTAGTGATTTGAAGTAAACCGTGAGTAGTGTTTGTATATAGATGACAGTCTCTAGATGAGTGATTTGGGGCTTGTTAGTACAGTTGTTAAAGCCCTAGACTGTAACTTGAAAGGTCGCCAGTTCAAACCTACCAGCTGCTCTGTGGGAGAGCAAGTTGACAGTCTGAACATTATGCCTTGCTCAGTTCTGCTCTGTCCTAGAAGGTCTCTATGAAAATAGACTGGACAACAGTGAGTTCATCTAAATACTTGCCTACGATTCCTGTTATGTGCCTTTGAGTCTAAGCCAACTTGTAGCTGACCTTCCAGCAGGGTTTTAGGGCCTGTAAAACGAACAGGAGGAGCTCTCCCATCCCCCCCCAGAGCAGCTGGTGTATTCAGAGTGCCCATTTGAGTTTACAGTGTAACGCGTTACCACTAGGCCAGCAGAGCTCCCTCTACTTAACATTGTTCCCTGTCATTTTGCAGCTAATCATTTTCTGGTGGGATAATCCCATCTGAAACTCTTTTCTTGTATTGAGCCAGTTTATGAGGCCTATCTTGTCAAATAAAAGAGCTACAGGCTCAATCGGTTAACTCACAACTTCGGTTCCTGGTTACAGTGATTTGAGGTGAGAACCCTGCTTGCTAGTGAAGAGAAGCATTCCAGCAGAAGTGGGAAAATTCTTTGGAATTCTGCTGTTGTGATGTGCCCTTCAGTTGAGTACAACTCACAGCAACCCTGTGAGCAACAGACTTGACTCCTGCGCTGTCCTCATCGGCTCTGACACATTGGAGCCCATTGCTGCAGTCACTGTGTCAGGCTATCTTGTTGGGGGCCTTCCTTCCTTTCACTTCCACACCACTTTTTCTAGCATCATGTCCCTTTTCTAAGGAAAAACCTCGCCTAGCAACATGTCCCTCGTAGGAGATTTAAATGAGTAGACATTATTTCATATTCTTAATTACATCATGATGTATTTTTCCTCTTTCCCCTGGTCATTTCCAGGTTTGAGTTTACACATAAAAAACAGTCGGGCGGTGCAGGCCAGTTTGGGAAAGTGATTGGTGTGTTGGAGCCTCTGGACTCAGAAAACTACACTAAGTTGGAATTCTTAGATGAAACCTTCGGGTCAAATGTCCCAAAGCAATTTGTCCCTGCTGTGGAAAAGGTAAGCGGACAGCCAAAAAGCCTTCCTGGTGTGTCAAAACAGTAGTCAAGTTCCTGCTGCTTCTGTGCACTGTCATCCGCGCTTTAGTTTAGTGGCAAAACTACTGCTGCTTTATCTAGTTTTTAGGCTTTTCTGTTTGATTTAAAACCTTGATTAAATAAAAAACCTTAAGGATAGGATATGCAATGACAGTAATGGGAAGTCATCTGACTTCTTAATCATAGAAATATTTTTGTAGCTGTTGTTGCGACTACTCCATCAACTTAATCAGCAATTAAAATTCACAGTAGCCACTTTTGATGTATAACAGTGTTGTGTGAGCTGTTCTGGTGGCACCTCGCTCTGTCTCTGCTGCTGACTGTTAGAGTCTTTGACCAGTTTTCAGAACCAGTTTCTTCATTTGTAAACTGATAATCAGATAAACCAACCTCTGCAGTTCTGAGTATTGGATAGGATTGTGTTAACAACGGTGACATGCTTTGAACATGGAAGGGCTCAGTGGTCGCTTTAGGGGCAGATAGTTTAAAGGCAAGTGTCTATTTACAGAGATGGAGCTTGCTTTATTTTTTTATTAACCTTTTCACTCATAAATTGTTATTGACAGGTTGTTCTTTTATTTTGGTTCCAGTGGCAGTGCTATTTTTTATTTATTTTTTTTTTTCCTCTTTAGTCTTCCTTTTTTTTTTTCTATATTTTATTAATTTTCATAAACATTTACAGAGATTTTGGGTTTCCATTCATTCATTGTTGCACTATTCTCTCTACCCTCCTCCCAGTTTGTTCTTGTCCAAGTACTATTTTTTATAATCTATTTCTTTCAAGGCATTTTTTTATCATTCACACACTTGTAAATTTCTTCTTTAAGATTAATAAAGAGCTTGGATATTTTTCAGCATGTATCTGTCACAGGTATTTATGACATTGAAATGTCAGAAATATTTTGTTCTTTGTCTAAAGCAATGTGATAACTCTTCCCAGGAAAACCTGACTTCAGTTACAGGGGCTCTATAAATCCTTACTCTTGAAATTTTATTATGTATAGATAAAGTAAAGCAGTTAAAGGGACTGGATGAATGATAATTGCAGAATTATCAACTTGTTCTCTTTAAAGATGTACACTTTATTGTACATAATTATACCGCAATGAAGTGTTAAAAAAAGAGCGAATTGTATTTGGAAAACAAATTCTTTTCATTCTAGTTACTGGTAGTGGATAATACTAAAATGATAATATAAGCTGGGAATGAGGCAGAGCAGCTATTGGTAGATAGTAGTTATCAGTTGAATAAATGCTAATTTTCATGGAGATTTTCTTTAAGAAGTTCCATAGTTTTGCTCTTTTTCTGCTATTTTATTATAAAATCAAGATCATGTCATCACTTAGAATGTCTAAGAGGTAAGTAATTCCTGAATGTGAAACTATGGGAAAGTGATTTTTAGCACTCTCTGCAACTCATTTGACCTTAGACCTTTAAGTAATGGCTTTTAAGAGGTTGCTACAGAGAAACAATTTAAATAGTAAAGTTTCTTCGCTTTTAATAAACTCCAGTTGAGGGATGAGAGGTAGCATATATAGAAACATTCCACTTGTGAGCAGTCCTGTTTGTTGGTTCTTGGGAAAGCACCTGCGGGTGAAGTCCACTCACTCCAGAAGTTGTCTCTCTCCCCAGGGGTTTTTGAATGCCTGTGAGAAAGGCCCTCTTTCTGGTCACAAGCTCTCTGGGCTCCGGTTTGTCCTGCAAGATGGAGCCCATCACATGGTTGATTCCAATGAGATCTCTTTCATCCGAGCTGGAGAAGGTGCCCTTAAACAAGGTACAGTGTGTCCAGTCACAATGTGTGTCCGTGGGAACCTTGTGCTTAGCTTGTCTTGTCCGCCCAGAGCACCACGCCTGCTGTCCACCTGGCAGCAAAGACACAGTAGCTCCAATCATGGTATTTTGTGACTTACTCAGTCCCAGGAAACGCATTGCTTTCTAAGTTCTTTTTTATTTATGATATTGTAGGCTGTAGGCATTTTGAAGAATATGCTTATTCATAATACTAAACTGTTAAAATTGTCAACCTTTACACACAGTAAACCCTATAATGAGTCAGAACCCTAAGTAATTAGGCTTTAGTTACTTGCTTTTAGGAGAGAAAGGTAAATGACAACACACGGCAATTTTTGACATGAGGGTTTTCAACAGAGGAACTTCAGAGTTGTGTCTGTCTTTAAATCAGACAATTCATTTTTTCTCATCTTGTCCATATTTGTTCTGTGGTAATTGATTAAGAAAGCCCATAAATGTCTTTACTTACCACAATAGAATTATAGTTCATATAACATTTCAGAAAGGTTTTCCTTGAAAAACATGAAAATGGAAACAAAATTAATCTTATCCAGAACATTCTAAAATCAGGATTTCACTGATTCTGTATTAATTTTGGACTTCATATTGTTATATTGTTCTTCTTCCTTTGTGTCTGTGATGAGTCAAAGGCACAGCTTGCAGAAGGAAGTCTTTTCTTTATCAGGTTACTAATTCATTATTTTGTTATTTTTATTCAACTGATTAGAGGCAAATAGCAATTTGTATTTTAATTTCTCGGTTGTGACAAGGAGACAGAATTCTTCATTTTCTTTAGACCAGCTCTCTGTTAAATATGCAGTTGAAATCTCTGCTCTGGAAATGTTGTCATGATGGGAAGATTGTGTTTAATAGGAAACAGTGAGATGAAATCACAAAGATGAGATGACTCAGATAAAACACTTACATCTTGACCTGCTTGCTGTTTCCTACTTTAATAAACCTTAACAAATTACCAATTGTTTTATGCTGATTCTTTAGCTACATTTTGTTCAGCCACTTCTCTTGTTAGATATTAGTGAACCACACAGTGTTATTGTTGACCAGTTTAAATCAGACAGTCAAGTGTCTTTCATTAACTACACAAAAATATTTAGCTATGAGGATCTAAGAAATTTTGGATGACATTGTGAAGAACCTCTCTGCAGACCAAAAAGTAGTCATTTGAGGCTTAAAATTAGAAAGGGAGCGCATTAGGATGCATTAGGATTGTGTCCTTCCCCCATATCAATTCAGCTTGTATGCTGACCAGATAATTGGAGGCGCTGGACTATATGTGGAACTCCCCATCACGATTGGAAGAAGACAAACAGTTTGAGATGCAGGTGAAACAATCTTGCTGAAAGCAGAGGACTTGAGGCACTGGTAAAGATCAACATTTACAGGATTCACCTGTGTATAGTATAGTATAGTATAGTATAGTATAGTATAGTATAGTATAGTACAGTACAATATATACAGTAGAGCATCTATAGTATAGCTCACACATCAGATTCTCACATATTCTCCACTAAGCAACATCATGTAAGTGCAGAAGTGCCAAGGGTTTCGTGTCACTTGGATCCATTGTCAGTGTCCATGGTCAGTCAAGAAGTCCAGAGATATTTCTTGCATTGGACAAATCTGCTGTAAAGCTTTAAAGTATTAAAAAGCAAAACTGCTCATCTTTAAGACTAAGTTTTGCTTGACCCAAACCATATTCTTTTTAATGATCTCCATATTTATATATGAGCTGGACAGTGACTTGGGAAGACTGAAGAATTGACACATTTGCTTTATGGTGCTGCCGAGGGCTATTGACTAATCCGTGAACTGCCAGGAAGGAGCAAACCCGGGACGAGTGCAGCCAGGATATTTCTTGAAGTGAGGAGCACAGGCTTTGTCTCCTGTACGTTGGGCGTTGTTACAGGAGAGCTCAGTCCTTGACAAGGACATCACGCCTGCCAAAGCGGGGCACTCCACAAGCTGGACCGACACAGCGTCTGTCGCTGCACTGCCTGCTCCTGCGTGTGGGCTGCTGTGAGGGGGCACCGAACAACAACACCCACAACCTCCAGTTGACTTTCTCAGCGCAGGAACGTGAGTTCTGGACCGGCAGCATTTAGCCTTGTTAGAGACAGAGCAGAAACAAGAAACTTGGTCTTCTAATTTGCAGCCAGATAGTGTTCGGCCTGCAGAAGGAAAGACACATTTCAAGGATGGCGTGTTACCTCCAAGAATGTGAAGATTGTCCTTACAGCCCTCATGCCTCTGAAGATAAAAGTGATTTTCCTGCATTCAAGAATAATTGTCTGGCAGGGGCTGAAAGGAAAAGATGGGTTTACCCTGCCTGCTCAGAGATTTAACAGTTTCCTTACCTCTGAAGACTAAAGAACCCACAACTGAATCATTAAAGTGGTATAGGACTTAATCAATGTTGTCTTAAGATCTCTCTTAGTATTCTCTATAATTAATGTTAAAATTCAAAATTAGCATTAAGTGTGTTTATTAGAATTTGCATTTAGAAGGTTGACTGTCGCTGCTATTAGAAAAATGAGTCTAGATCCACCGTTTGCCCGTTTCCATTGTGTGTGTGTATGAGGCACCTCTGGGATAGTACCATTTTCCTTTGACATATCTGAACAGACTAATCCTCCAGTTTGTTTCAGAGAGCTAAGTAAAGTAATTTACTTTTTTGTTTGTTTTCACCCAGCCCTGGCAAATGGAACCTTATGTATTATTGAGCCTATTATGTCTGTGGAAGTTGTAGCCCCGTGTCAGTTCCAGGGAGCGGTGATTGCCGGCATTAACCGGCGCCGGGGGGTGATCACAGGGCAGGACGGCATTGAGGACTACTTCACGCTGTACGCCGAGGTGAGTGGGCTCCTCGCTGCGGAGCTGTCACTACCACCCAAGGAAAGCAGAGGGAGCTTTAGTTTCTGGGAGTTGTAGAGCTCATTTCTGCATTTCCCTGGCTATTTGTGGCTATATATGTTTGACTGGCTAAATAATTTTGTTTTAGAGCGCTAAATGCAAAACTATAAATAAGATTTATTTCATGTTGGTCTTTTTTTGCCCCATGTAGGTCTTTTATGATAAATGTGTCCCCTTTATTAAGATGAAATGTTATTATAGTTCTATGTGTATAATATAATTGTTCTCTCTACTTTGTTGAGATTCTGGCCTTTCCTTTACCTCACTTAAATCTTAAGGAAGCTCTGGTGGCCTAAGGGATAAGGAGTTGTGCTGTCAACACAAACGCAGGTAGTTCAAATCCACCAGCTACTCCATAGGAGAAAGATGGGCAGCTTCTCTGCTACAAATTACAGCCTCTGAAAACTGTTGGAGGGTCAGCACTGAGTCAGTTCCAATTGAGTGGCAATGAGATTGAGTGTTTAATTTGTTGAGGTAAGTTTTCTTGCCTTTCCTTTTCCTGACTGATACCTCACGTTGTTGTTAGATCCTGTCGAGTCAGAACTGACTCATGACGGACCTTCCAGCAGATTTTCAGAGGCAGGAAATCACACAGGAAGAGAGTAGCTGGTGGATTTGAACCACTTGCCTTTGAGTTACAGCATGACTCCTAAGCACTAATCCAAAAGCTCCCAAATCTCATGAAAGAAAGTATTTTCCATTTTCCTTAGAGCCACTAAGGAGGTAGGTACTTGCGCTAAGGTGTCCACAGAGTGGTGTTAACATTTTCACAGAAGGAAGTCTTCCTGGTGTTTTCAGGGAGGCCAGAGAAGGGCTGAGAGGAGGAACAAGGTTGACTGTCTGGTGAGGAGTGCTGTGTCAGCTGTGAATGGAAAGATTTTGTTTCTAGTTACAAATGCTAAATAAAATTTTCAAATTATTTTTTCCACTTGGATTAAGAAATGAAAATATGTTTTCTTTGGCTTTTAATTATTTAACCAGTAGTAGTCAGTATGTCTTGCAGAGGGTGCAGCTGGAATGCTCTTTGGAGGCAAGAATGATGAGGCTTTGCCTCACATACCTTGGGCGTGTTGCTAGGAGGTGCTATTCCTTAGAGAGGGACATGATGCTGGGAAGGGTGGTGGGTCGGTGAAGGAGAGGAAGACCTTAACCAGGTGGATTGACACAGTGACTGTTGCAGTGGGCTCCTGTGTGTCGGGAAGAGTGACTGACAGAAGACAGTTCAGATCTTTAGTTCATAGGGTCACTGTGAGTCATACTCGACTTGATGGCACCTAACAACAACCACCACAAATTAGCAGGAATCTGAATCTAAGGAAAATGTCTGAAGAAGAAAAGTCTCTGTATTTTTCTCAAATCTCTTTCAACAAGTAATGCTAACATGTCTGCTGTGTTTATTTTCAGGTTCCTCTAAATGATATGTTTGGCTATTCCACTGAACTCAGGTCATGCACAGAGGTAAGCATATGTTTCCATTTCCCTCTAGGACCTTTTCAAAGACCACCGTACAAAATAATCACATTTTGAGATCCTGCCTTTGTAGGGCTTGACTTGATAATTGCAAAGAAACATAGTGCTATTTTTATTTCCTCTCAACAACTAGGGGAAGGGAGAATACACAATGGAATACTGCAAGTATCAGCCATGTTCAGCATCCGTTCAAGAAGAGCTGATCAATAAGCATTTGGAAGCTACAGGTCAACTTCCAGTAAAAAAAGGAAAAGCCAAGAACTGAGTTCCTTCACTCTGAGTTGACGGTCAGACTGACTCAAGCTACAGTGTTTCTTACTTTGATAGAAGCCTTTCCTGTTTAATTCAGGAAATTGTGTTTAATGCAGAGATAATTCTGTGCATCTCAACTGTTGATTGGTTTTACATACATCAGTTGAGAGAATATAAAATAGTTATTTCTAAAATATATTCAATATTTATTTAAGGTGGGAGAGACTAATTTTCGTTGTACTTTTAAATTTAGAATGTGTGTCAGGATCTCTATTTTTTTATCATTGGAATTTTCAACATCCACAGAAATGTCGACATATCTCCTACACCCAACAATAACAAGCGTTTAAAAATAATGTATCATATTGTTGTCATTTTGTCTGTCTCCTATCACTGTGTATTTTTAAAATTTTTAAAAATGGTAACTTTTCTGAATACTTGGAAGTTAATTGCATACATCATGATACTTCTTGGATATTAGCTGCTCATGGACAGACTTTTAAGGGTGAATTCTGTATGATCTTTATACACAGTATTTTTCCATTTCTTTGGTCCTGGCTAAATTCTGTCTTACATAGAGCTGAACACCTAAATCTGTGGCTTCTTCGGTTCCTTCAGAGCTTCCCCTGCTTCTAGAACTGTGAAGTCACTTCCTTGGACCCTACGTGAAGTGAGCAGCAGACCTCCCACAAGATGCATGTCTGTATTCATCGTCATGTTTCTACATCCATAAACAAGAAATGTATTTTATAGAGTCGGTGGCTACTTTCATTCACTTGGTTGGTTGACATGTGCTGTGACGTGGGACCCAACTCCTGGTTGACCCTTCAGCCAGTTTTCAGCGTCTGTAAACCACTGGGGAGGAGGCTGACCATCCATCTTTCTCTTAAGGAGCAGCTTGTGAGTTCGAACCTTGTGCCTTCTTGGTAGCGCAACAAAATAACCGGCTTTAGACGTCTGGTTTTCCTTATTTAGAAACGTGGCTCTTTCCAAGCCATTGTCTTAAAACTTTTTAACACCAGTCCTCACAACCTTTCTAAACACTATCATTATGTCAGGTCAAGGCCGTGAAGGCACAGAGCGCATACAGCTTGTCAGTGTTACTGTTAGATCCGGGTGGTGAGCTGTAACTCACGACTGCCTGATGGGAAACGGGACACTGCCCGGTCGGCACTTCTCAGTCACTGCCGTGTGTGAGCCCGTTGTTGAGCGGTCCTGTCAGCCCACTTCACGGCAGATGTCTATCTGTTGGTGACCGAGCATCAGGCCTCTTCCAGCACAGAACACCCACAGTGCACTGCATGCAGGCTCCCCTGCTCCCAGGAGCACTCTGGCCCTCCCCTCCCCCGCTCCCAGGGAGCACTCTGGCTGCTCCCCTCCCCTGCTCCCAGAGAGCACTCTGGTCACTCCCCTCCCCTGCTCCCAGGGAGCACTCTGGCCGCTCCCCTCCCCTGCTCCCAGCAGCACTCTGGTCACTCCCC